GTTCCCTGGTTGTTCCCAGCGGTTCCTGGTTGTTCCCTGGTTGTTCCCAGCTGTTCCTGGTTGTTCCCTGATTGTTCCCTGGTTGTTCCCAGCTGTTCCCAGCTGTCCCTGATTGTTCCCTGGTTGTTCCCAGCTGTCCCTGATTGTTCCCTGGTTGTTCCCAGCGGTTCCTGGTTGTTCCCTGATTGTTCCCTGGTTGTTCCCAGCTGTTCCTGGTTGTTCCCTGATTGTTCCCTGATTGTTCCCTGATTGTTCCCTGGTTGTTCCCTGATTGTTCTCTGGTTGTTCCCTGATTGTTCCCTGATTGTTCCCTGGTTGTTCCCTGGTTGTTCCCTGATTGTTCCCTGGTTGTCTCCTGTGTATTTAATCCCACCTGTGTTGCTGTTCCCTGTCGGTCCGCGTCTCGTCTTGGTCCAGTCGTGATTGGTTCCAGTCGCTGCCTGGATTTCTGCACACCTCCATCATTAAACCAACATTATCTCTACTCCTTGGGTCAAAACCACATGACAGTTTCACTAAGAATGAACCGGGTCGGTGCAGCGCGGTCCAGAGGTTTCATTACCGGAGCCAAAACCTTGAAAAAACGTTGGAAAATTTGGAAATATCAAGAATAAAACCAATTTTACTGTGATTTGTTTAATGTCTTAGTGTTCAATATATTAAATAAATATTTGTAGGAAATGAATGTGCAATTTATTGTAGATCAAAATAGAGATAAGGTCTTGCTTGTTTCCTTGTCAAAAGAAAAATCTCCAAAAATATTAACTTTTGCAGCTGATGATTTGGAACAAATAAAACTTTATTGCATCCAGTTGCACTTTTGTTTTAACCCAGTGTTTCTCCACCCTGGTCCTCAGCCCCCCTGCTCTGCATGTTTTACATGAGCCTCTGTTCCAGAACAGCTGATGCAAATGACTGCATGACCATGAGGTGCTGCAGAAACCCGTTAATCACCAGAGATACAATCCATGTGTGTGGGAGAAGGGAAACACCTAAAACATGCAGGACAGGGGCCTGAGGACCAGGGTGGAGAAACACTGATTTAACCTAAGCAGGATATTTTAACTGCACAGTGTTATTTGCCTTTACTGTTCTGTTTTTCATATTCTATCTGTTTTTTATTCACCTTTAACTTGATGCTGGAACACCTGGATTTCCTCACTGAGGCTCAATATTTCATTTTATTTGGAATCATTGTTTTCCTAGATCCATTTGAATCAAATTGTTTAAAAACAAACAGATGATGTGTTTATGTTAATTCAGCCTCCAGCGGTTGGTTTAAACTGATAATGCAGTAAAAATCCACCTGCAGGACGAACTTCAGATCATGTTCAGCTGAATGAGTTCTGCTTCAGCAAAACAAAACTAATTTATACCAAGATGAACAAATATTTACAGAACGAAAACCTGAAACAGCAGATAAACTGGATTACACAGAAAGAAGAAACGCTATCTAGGACACAGTGCAAGTGTGTGTGTGTGTGTGTGTGTCGGTTTTCCGAGAGCATCTCTCTAACTGGAAGTCACATGACTCTGCGGAGAATCCTGCTTCCTGCGTCTCTGTCCTTATATGGTCACATTTTGTCTTGCTGATGGTGTCGCCCCCTGCAGGTCGGACATCGATGCGTCTCCTCTTCCTCTTCCTCCTCTTCTGTCTGTCTGTCCATCTGTTTTCACATGAAGTCTTTGTTCCTGCTGTCAGCTGAGAGCTTCTTGTTTCGTTTGTGTGGAAAAGTTTGACTTTAAAGAAGCTGAGACACAACCAGAGGCCTGGCTGTCTGTCATCGGAGCGTTTTGCTCCAGATTATTATCGCGCTGCTCTGAATGCAGAAGTTTAGCTGAACGTGATAAATGTTTCGGCCTTGACCCCGGACAGGAACTTCCCAGATCTCCCAGTGATTTACGGCGCTCTAATCATGCTTTCTGTTTGCACTCATAAAAATAAAAAACTGGGTCCATTTCATGATGCAACAACCTGCAGTAGAGCAGCAGCAGGAGCTGCAGGTGCTGCAGCAGCAGCAGCTGCAGCAGCTACCTGCTACCTGCACGACTTTTATCAGCTCCTCACATCACTGGAGGAATTTCAGACAAACTGATTTGCATTGATTGTTTTATATTTGGAGTAAAGACAAAGATATCCAAATACAAGGCAGCCATGTTTATGGCTGAAAAGTCTAGCGCTGCTTAATGGCTGCAGGATTCAGACATTTCTGCTAAATTCAGGATCCATAATAAATATTTATTACACTAAAATGATCCAAACAAATAAACACAACATACAAGGTTTTCTGGCATTGAGCAAATATAAATAATTTTATTGATCATAACTGACCAAAAACAAGGAAAGTTCAGTCTGACTTCAAAATGTAAACGTTTATTTTTACAGGTGGATAAAAACATTTTGTGTCAACTGCAAAAAATATTTTAGAAATTTAATCTTTTAATCAAACGGTAGATTAATGCACTTATCCAACACTTCATTAAAATTCAAACATGTTTAAGACTAACTGCAGATCAGATTGTTAAACATTTTCCACTTTGTATTTTTGCCACTGATGGTCGGCAGCAGTTGCTCATGTGAGGAAATTGCTGATTGTTCTGCTTTTAAGGAGATGAAGAATCGATGGTGACTGGATCTGGTTAGTAAATAAACCTGTTTTCTTTCTCCACGTCTCCATGTGCCGTTTGGTGAACTTAGAAAACGTTAGTAGAATATAAACATGATTAGCTCCGACAAACCGACTGCAAACCAGAAGAAGAAAATGACTCTTGCTTGTCTTCAGGATCTGTTTGCATCATCTGAGGTTTTCTCCTCTGCCCACCTCGTCTCCAGAGTCGTCATAAATTGATCTGCGTCAGATTGAATGATAAGGCAGATAAAGTCAAAGAGCAGGGGTCTGCGCTCGGCGCCTTGGGGAACCCCTGCCAACAGGCAGCGTTTCTTCCATGACAGTGAAAGCTGCTGCATCACAAAGTGAAGCTTCGCTGTTTCCTCCCACTCTGTAGACGCGGTGCTTCGGGCTGCGTTCGCCAGCTCTCAGTTCCTGCTGCGGTCGGCCGGCGAGTCTGAGCCGAGGAGGGCAGAGTGACGTCTGGGACGCCTCCGGCTCTGGACTCGGCTTTCACTACGACTGATTCACTTCATTTATTTACTGACTTCTGCCTGCATTTAAAGACAAATAACTTTTAATAAAATTAATGCTCTAAATGTTCATCTGCTGGATTCATATTTATTTATTTCTATTTTCACTCAAACTATCCAAACTTTGTTGGTAGTTTTGAAAAGTCTTGAGCCTCATTTTGAGATTTTCTAGATGTTTTTCTGTGAACTTCACTTTTTTCCTCTCATTTTCGCTCCAGTCCTTCTATCAGGCCGTCAGTTTGCTGTGCAGAGTTTAAACATCTGCAAAGTTTAGGAGTTTGTCAGGAAAGTCCATCATCACAGAGCAACCAGCTGCGCACATTCATATGTAAGGATGCATCAGAGTCACCAGTCAACCCAACAGTCACGTTCTGGACGGTGAGGAAGCCGGAGAACCCAGAGAGAAGCAGTGCATGCTGGGAGACGGTCAGACTCCAGGTTGGGATTCAAACTCTGCAGAAAACAAACAAAAACAAGATAAAATAAATGAATTCCTCTGACATGGTCAGACATTTGACCAGGAAGATGAACGACAGGAAAGCATCACAAAATGTTCAGCTGCTTCTTGTTTTAACTTTATTCCTTCGTTAAAAACAAACCTGGACTGTTGCTTTGATTCTTTCATGTATGTTTGAGAAATCCTTTAATCTCCATGGCAACCCCTGGTTGGACGTAGCTCCAGCTTCAACAAAAAACATTTTTTATAAAAGTTACCGTCTGCAGCTCTAAGTTAGTTTAATAAAACTTTACTAAAACTCACTGAACTGAGCTGAGAGTCATGTGACATTTATTGATGGAGCAGCCAATAATTTGTTGATCCTTTAAAAGAACGGAATGTGATTTTCTAAAAACGGAAATGCTAAGAATATGTGTGTGTGTGTGTGTGAAACCATCTCACTGTGCCTCTTTGCTGCTCCTGACTTTCTGTTTGTTCTCATTAAGCCTTCAGCCTTTTCGTGGAAAACGTTTCCTCCTTCTGCTCGCAGCCACCGCAACACATTAACCAACCAGTAACACACACACACACACCCAGGCAGGTAGGTGGAGTTTCTGGGAGCTGTTAGTGCTGAGGGCTCGGTTACAGTTCAGCTCCACAGATAAGCGGCTCTGCAGAAACAGCTTCAGGGTGACAGGCAGAAACTTGAGCGTTCTCCGAAAGGAAGCAAACAGTTCCTGCCGCTCAGGCGTGTTTACCTGAGCGAAGCTTCCTCTGGCTGCAGAGCCCTCCGGGCCCACACACACACACACACCCTGCAGGGCTGATCACGCTCTGATCAGTCATATCTGACCACATAAGGTCACATATAGGCGATCAGATCAGGTCACATATAGATGCAGACAGACTGAGGGAGGAACTGTCTGTGCTGAGACGGATCGACGAATCAGAGCAGGAGAACGTCCTGACAACATGACCTCTGACCTGAGCTTCACTCTGGAACAAAAACAGCAACATGCCATACAGAGCAGCAGAGCTGCATGACTGGTTTGGTCGTAGTGGCTAACACCAGAGGTCAGCCGGAATAGAACATCAGTTCACCGACGGCCCTTACACTGTAAAAACACTGAACGCACCAAGAGCTGGTTTTAGGTCAGTAATCCACTGGTGAAGAACTACCAGATATACTTATGGGAAAAATATAAATAAATGTGTAATAACTTCGTCATCAGCATAAAAAGACGCCAAATTATACAAAATAAACAGGATGAATTTCTTTTCCAGGCTTGTTTTCTGCAAAAACACAAAATCTTACCAAGTATTTTGGTGTAGATATTAGTTAAAATATCTTAGTAACTTAAAACAAGAAAAGCAAAGTTGCATTAAAAGTCTGTTAATAATGTTAATGTTAGATTAAATGTCATTATTTACTGACTGACTCTTCATGCAACAGTGATAAACATTTATGAAGACTCATGTTTATGACAGCTGCTATGAAAACACGTTCAAAGTGTATCAAGCTCCTGATTGAGAAGGAAACATTTTTCTGCTGTTAGATTTCAGGAACGTTCAGCAGGCGGTTCCTTAAATCACTTTCAGAAGTTTCTCACTAAACTGATGGAAGTTGGATCAGCTTCCATGAAGACGATCAACCGGCTGCATCTGGAGATCTGCAGCACGAATAATTTAACACCTCCTCTTCCTCCCTCTCCTCCTCATCATCACCTCCAGCCGTCACTGTTCTCTCTTCCCTCGCTTTGTGTAGGTGAGCAGCTTCAGCCTCCAGCAGCTCTGCTCTTCATTTTGATTTTAACTTGGTGTGTGTGTGTGTGTGTGTGTGTGTGTGTGTGTGTGTGTGTAGGTGTGTGTTACCATCCCACTCACCTCCTTGACATTTCCCGCTCCTCTTCAGACCTCCATTCATCTCATTTTCACAGTTTCCTTCTCCTTGATGCCACACTGGAGCTTCAGTGATTATAATCGGCCCGGCGCTCGGACCGCTCCATGGAACTCCTTATATGGTCAACAAGCAGGCGGAAACACGGGCAATGTAGCTACCTGCGTTACCATGGCTACCACTTCATTCACAAAAACATTCATACAAATATCGTTTTGAGGGAGAAATAAGGAACATGAACCGCTGCAGGAGAATTGATCTCAATGTCATTTAAATTGATGCAACTCAAATCTTTATATTTCTATTATTATGTTATTGGTATTTTACTGCCAAGTTTATTTATTTTTTTAATAAAACAATTTTTATTTTTTTATATATCAACCTTATCATGAATAAACTTTGACTATAATTAAAAACAGAAGAGGGTGGAGTATCCAAAGATCGTTCTCAGTCAGAGTAAAAAATATTTAGAAATGGTGTCATCTGACAGATTACAAAATAACAAATTTAAGCAGAAGAATCAGATTTTCAAATCACTTTTTCTCCATGAATCTTATAAAATGAGTAGCTACAAAAGGTGAAATACGTTAGCAGGTCAAAGTATTGAACTGTTCTCAGTGTTGACCTAAAAACGGCTCAGCAGACAGAAAATAACAGGAAGTCTCACTTTAGCTCGGTGCTAAAGTGAGACTTTGGGTTTAAAACATTTCCCTCCATCTTTAGTCATCCTGAGTTACTCATAGCAGCAACGAGACTTAAACATTACATTAAGTAAAAATGAAAAGTTTGGTTCAGAAAAGAGATTGCATTCTCCAAAAACTTACTCTAGTAAATGTAATTAGTTACCTTTGATTGAATAGCTGCTGTATTTTATTCATATAATCAGATGTTAGCAAACGTTAAAAAGAAAATTAGGAACAAAACGTTTTTGCATCATAAAGTTACAGCGCCACCAATCGGCCTGGCGGACCTACTGCAGCGTCTCCATGTGAGCTGGACCTGAATCCCTGTCAGTCCGTCTCCTTCAGATCCAACTGCATCTGTGTTTTTCCTGGAGTTTTTGGTTTTTCGTATTTTATTAGTAAACAGTTTAATGTTCATCTTCCTGCAGTTGGGTCCGGTTCTTCGTCTTCCTCGGCTCCATAATGAGAACATTTCTGACCATTCAAATGTCCGTTTTGTTGACTCAACTTCTCCTTTATTTCCTTCCAGACTTTAGTTTTCCATTGATATATTTTCAATGTTTTGTCTGCAGAGCTTGTTTAATTGATCAGCATTAGAGCACAAACTGGTGATTTTTTGGAAACTTTTCCACTCGAAGCTTTGCAGGTCCTGGTTTAATTGTTTCAGATGATTAATTGTGAACATTCTCTGACAAACAGAAGGAGAGGAAACCCAAATTATGTTTGCAGGATCTGTGAACTCTGTTATTAACTGGCTCCTTCCCAGGGCGCTGAGTCGGCTGTTTCCTCCAGGATTCCCATCGCTCCCAGTGCTCCCAGTGTGTGTTTGGTGGAGTGAAGTTTGGGGTCACTCTGTGGTGAACTGTGGTGTGACGAACACTTTCTGGAGTGTTTTTTCTCCAGGATTCTTCAGGTTGCTGCAGTTTTTATTTCCCAGCTTCCTGCTGGTTTCCTATTGGGGCAGATTCTCCAACTGATCTGCGTTCCCATTAGCTGAGCTCATCCAACACTCCCTGCAAACCACTGTGGGAAAAGGTTGCAGAAATTAGGCAAACCCAGAAGATATCTTCAAATTAGGAGTCCCACCCTTAATGCACAAAGCTTTTCTGTAGCCCAGAGAAACCTTTTCCCAGCCACAAGTTAAAACAGGTCCCAGCTTTAACATCCCACCACGTCTGCAGATGGAAGCAGACATCTTTGTCCTCTCTGTCCAACTGGTTTGTCCTGATCCTGGACCCGGTCCACAGGTTTCGCTCCAATCCTGAAGGAAAACCGACACCTTATCCAGAACACTCTGATCCCAACAAAAACACAGGGAACTGTTCTTCTGTCATTATGTCTGCAAACATAATGTATCATAACCAAAGCCCCAGTGAGTGCAGCTGCTGTCTGTCATGTAATCTGTACTCATTACTGTGTTTTTATTCTCTTTCCTTGCCTAAAGCTTGAAAAGCAACATTTAAATCCCTCAAAAGGAGCAAAATCCTGCAAATCACCACCAACCTGCTGCTTTTGTTCTCTGTGGGAAAAACTTCCAGCAGAAATTATGTCAACTTTTTGTATTTGTTTCTGATAATCCATGCAGCTCTTTCCTCTGGAGCCACTGTACAGATTAGAGTAAATAATCTGTTTGAACTGATTGTACTCCATAAAGAAATCACAGAACTCAAACAAACTGGAATGTTCTGCATCGACCTTTTGCACGTGACGCAACGCTCTGCCATGACGGACGTGGAAACAAACAATGTGTGTTAACTGCTGTAAATCTTCAGTTGGTTGACTAACATTGATTTTATTTAGTGTAAAAGTGGCGATAAGATGCAAACTAAACTTGTAATTTTGTCATGAACCATTTGATGACGGCGATGGATAAAAACCTTCAATCATAAGTAACTTTACCAGGTTAGAAGATGAACCTTTAACTAAGTCAGGTAATCAAATATTTCATTATGGAGAAATATTAGCAGCAGAATGCACAAAAACAACATGTTAGCATCTAGAGCTGTTTGTTTTTACTTCTGCTCCGAGGAAACAGTGATTATGACTTGGTGGTTTAAATCATGTGGCGTGAATTCAGGCAAACTTTGTGATTTAACCAAAGCAACAAACACAGCAGGAGGGAGAAGGAATGCGTCCTCGCTTCAACACACCTGAACCCAAATGACGGCAGTGACCACGTCTTTACGAGGCCTGGTGATATGCCAGCTGGATTCAGGTGCGTTGAAGCAAAGATGCGTCCAAATGTTGCAGCAGAGTAACACTGAAGTACTGGAGTGGTAGACTCCTGAAATGTGATGCATCTGGTGTTCTAGAAACACGGAGATAAGATTTCAGAGGTAGAGTCACTAAAAATCGCCTGTCGACCTTGGAATGGCCGCTAGTCCATCACACAGAGACACAGTCATATAGAGACCAGTTCACATAACGTTGGTGTTTCTGAGCGGTGGGAGGAAGCCACATGAACAGGGAGAACTCCACACAGAAAGTCTGGGATCCAAAGCAAGAACCTTCTTGCTACTAACTGCACCAGAAAATGTTAAAAAATGTAAATGTAATTGACATTGTTGAGTATCTGCAAAGCAAGGCAGAGGAAACATTTCCAACTTTCTGAAGCTAAACAGAGCATCTGAAATCAGTGCTTACAGAACGCTGTGAACAACATCGAGTGACAAAATGAGCTGTTCAATATGTAATCAGTTGACCTCCAAAGAGTCAGAGGAATCAAGAGCGCTGGCTTCATCTGAGAGCACGATGCAGATAGATAAGACAATCAAATTTATTCTGTATTTATTCTGAGAGCGTTTCTCCATCAGCCTCCCAGACGAGACATTCTCCTTCTTTTTTAAACTGAATCATCAGAAAACATGCTAACACGGCCATTTGCTGTTGCTTTTTTTTTTTACCAGTGAAAACTGTAAAACCGTAACCGAATATCTGCAGATATGTCTGCCAGTGGAGTCCAACCCGTGTCTGCAGGACTCCTGTGTGATTAGGCTGATTTACTGCAGCGAAGAACTACAAATAATCCTCCGTCACGTCGAGCTGCTTCCAGTTTCCCAGCAGTAAAGTGTCGCTGAGATCTTCACACCACAAACACTGAACTGCAGCAGAAACCCAACACCGCTGTATGTGTGTATGTGTTTGTGCCTGAGAGCCGGCAGGGTGCCCGGTGTCACATGACCGGACAGAGAGGAGGTAGAGGGAGATGAGTGTGAGAAAAAGGGAGAGGAGGGCGAGAGACACCAACAGAGACAGTGGGAAAGGCTGGAGAGAGAGAGAGGCCTGGGAACAGATTGCGGGAGTGTCCCACAGCTGACTGCGTTCACAGCGCAAAATTCATTTCAGCAAATAACCTGCAGTTAGGAGCATTAACAGCTTTTACCTCACAGATGAGAGGAAACTGCACACAAGCAGGAAGAGTTAAAAACGCTCAGTTAGCTGCAAAACGCATCGTTCCCACAAGTCTGAACTGGACATGACCATCCATCTTGGTAGGCAAGTGCATGTGCAATGCATGAACCCATGTTGACTGACAGAAAGACAATAAGTGGACACTGTTGATCAACGTGCAAAAGAAAGAAACATGAACAAAATGGCTGCTGGCGGGATCGACCCGGATGAGACGGAGAATTAAACATGTCAGACGATGTGGACAAGCTGCCTCTGATGTCACATTATGACAACGTTGTTTCCCTTTGAGATCAATAAAGTGTTTTTGAATTTAACCACTCAGTGAAGTGGAAGAGTGTGAACAACATGGAGGAGCTTCACGGCCTGAACTCCCTGGATCAGACAATCAGTGTTTGAACGGATTAAAAGACGTACGGACTCTTCATGTGTTCTGGTGAAATAGTCAAATAGTTTTAATGCACTTTTATTGTTTATAAGTTCGACAGGAACAAGGCGAGAGAGGGTGGCTTGTTTATTGTTGTCGTAGCAACTGCCTGCCAAGATGGCTGCCAGTTGGTGGTAGTTTTTCATATGGGAAAAACTTATGGCAGTAAAGTTTAGAGCAGGGGTCCCAAACTTCTCCAGGTGACGGCCCCCAACAGCACCAGCTCCTGGGTGGGGGGCCCCTTTGAAAACCCACAGACAATCCCACAAAATAAATGTTTTTGTCACTTTGATTCACTGTTCAATAATAATTTCATTTGTTTGGCATCATACCTGCTGGTCTGGCTGGACGGCTCATTTGCTTGTACTTGACAAAAACACGTTCATTTCTCACTTGCTCTGCTAGCTTGAGGAGAAAAGTAGCTTGATGAATTTGACCGGCAGTCAATCACAAAGATGAGCATTTCAATAAGTTATACATTTTATGATGATGATTGACCAGAATTGGATCATCAATATTCTTTTCAATAAGTTTTGCATGCAGATATAAATGTTTTAGAATCCTTCCTGCAACATTAAATAAAGATAAATTATCCAGCTTCCCCCAACATTTCATATTTTACTGT